GTGGTCATAATGTTATGCCTGATCCATATACACACACACACACACATATATATATATATATATATATATATATATATATATATATATATATATATATATATATATATATAATAAAACTCACTTATATTTAACTTAAATTATTTGAAGTTTATTTTAAAGATTTTCAGTCTTGAGCTGCTGACTGTAGCTGTTAATAGTAGTAATACTTTATAATGCGCTGCTATAATGTTTCCTGCTGTAAAACTGCATATCTGAGGAGAGCAGAAGGTGAGTCATGCTGTAGAAGGGAGACTGCACAGCAACACATAATCTAATAGAGCTGTAAGGGAGCAGCCTAAGACCACAAGAGGAGAGGAAGAAAGAAGGAGAAGTTCTCTCTGAATTACAGATGAAAGTAGAGGAGAGGAAAAGACAAGTTTTCAGGAGGGGCAAGAGGAAAACATTAGTCATGGTCGCCACTAAAGGGAGTGAGATTGCATAGCTGGATTTTGGTCCAGACCAAGTCAGCAGTCACCACATTTCTTTAGTCCCCTTAAAGGGGAATTCCGCTGATGTTTAGAAATATGGGCATGATTTAATCGTTAAGATTCAGATGGTTTGATGTGACTGTCCTAGAGAAACTTTGTTCACAGTGGTGGCAATAGGACCCAGATGCCTGAACCACCAAAAGATGGTGACAAATATGTTGCTTGGCAACAACAGTTTTGTGATAAGCTTTTGGCCAAAAATACAAAATGCAAATAAGTTGTGCACTGGAAAACTAGAAAAGCTTATTTACCCGTATAAAACTCGACTAGGATCAGTGTTTGGCTATATTTCCGGTGTAGACAGCACAACTCCTAGTTCCTATCACCACCACCACAAAGATCTGAAATGGTACGTTTCTCTACAGTGAAGCATTTCACATCTAACCACATTGAATGACTGAATAACTGGATTATGTAGAAACTTTGAAAAATTGGTGGAGTTCCACTTTAACTTCTATTAGGTCTGGCAGTAAAGAGAGAGAGAGAGAGAGAGAGTCTCTGTAACCAAAGCCAGTGCTGAACAAGCTGAATGTAGGTCTCACGACTGGACTTTGACCGCAACGCTGTACTCGACAAACAAAACAGTGTTGCCATGGCAACTTCTCACATCCAGTGGCCTCAGAGTGGCCGCAAAACTCCAGATGAGTCACAGTCAAGAGGGCTGCCCGCATTTACTTCACCTACTGTAACATCCCACAAAACATGACTCAATTATGCACAGTATGGGCATAGAAGAAGCACCGCTTTGGTGAAGTATCTTACCAAAAAAAAAAAAAATCAGTGAGTAATTCTTTACAGTTACCCAAATGGGTCATGACTCCATTTCACTGCAAATACATCTACTGGTCTTACTGGTGGTGGTAATAAGGCTGTCCTGGTAGATGTTTAGAGACGACCAGTAGGACTGGCAGACTTGCAACTGAAATGCTGAAATGTAATTGTATTATTATTGTTAATATTAATATTTTAGTTGTTGTTGTTGTTGTTATTGTTTTTATTTTTAGTATAACCTTGGATGTGGAACACGTGGTGCACTTATGAGGACTTGTTAACCACAATATCTGCAAAGTACGCAAGACATCCAGAAGGGGGCAGTGTTGACTCTTTTTTAGAGTTTCTTTTTTTAAAGAAACTCTTTCCATTTTCAGAGAGGAATAAGACATTTCAAGATGTCCAGTCAATACAGCCACGAAAGGACAATGCATTGACCCACACATCACATATCCTTTGGGGAATAATTACGGTGTGGGGGCAGCTGCTGTGATTCAGCCACTGCAATTTTCGTCTTCTTCTCCTTCATATTGTTCCACTGCATGACCACGTGACATACATGCATGCATACATACATTAATACATAAATAAATAGCAAAAAATATATCAACTAATAAATCAATTTGGTCCTTAGAAGCACTAATAAATAAATGTTTTATTGATTTCTGAATTTATGTATTTCTTCACTGATGTATTTCTTTTATATATATTTATTTATAGATTTATTTCTTTATGTATTTTGTCCTCCGGTATGCTAATGAGCTAGGCTAAGCCTAAACACTATTGGTTAATCATAATTAAAGAAGTGTGCCTGATTAGTCCGGTCTTGAATCAAGGTGGAAGCTCTGACCTGAGACTGAAGCCCAGTCGGTCAAGCCTGATACGGTTTGGCCCTATATACATTTTTCGTCCCGAGGAACCCCATCCTCTGGATTATCAGGTCATTTAGCAGTCAAAACACAAATAATACTACATACAAGCTACAAACAAGCCAACACCAGCTACTCAAACTGTAGCTACTACTGCCAAAACAACTAGCCTATCACATTTGACAAAGCGTGCTGGTTAGTTTGGGGTATTTTGGTGCCAGTCTGAAGCCTATCCCAGCGGTCATCTGGCAGAAGGCAGAAAACACCCTGGACAGGTCGCCAGTCAATCACAGAGCAGACACACAGACATATACATTCACACCTAGGGACAATTTAGCATGTCTAAAAGACTGTATGTCTTTGGACTGTGGGAGGAAACCGGAGCACCCAGACGAAACCCATGCAGACATGTTGAGATCTTGCAAACTCCACACAAAAAGGACCCCTGGCTACCTGGCTAGGGAATCGAACCCAGGCCCAGACTTCTTGCAAGTGAACATCAAAGCAAACATTCAAATCATTTCACTATAATTCATGACTCAACACTGTGACGACCTGCACTGCACCGCAAAAAAACAGCACACAGAATCAACAAACCCGCCAAATGAAACTCCAGTTCAGCCGATTCCAGCACACCTCTAATCTGTTTGCTCTGCTGTGTCAGGAGGCTGAACTGTGTTGCCAGGACTACGCTGTACTAGTGCTACCAGAGGCCCCCCTCATATGAATGGCGCCAATCCACATTACAGCCAGCAAGGGTACAATGGGGGGATTTCTCCAGGGGCATGAGTGGGGAGTCCAAGCCTGTCTCCAACAGCCCTGGCTGGGGCCAAAAGCGGGAGCCAGAGGGGCCAGGCTGGGTCTTTTCTCCCCCTCGCCAAAACAAGCCGTAGAGTCACCGTGAAGATTACCGCCATGGGGGGATGTCAGTGTAGTGCCGTCTTCATCACCCCTCAGTGCCTACAGAGGCCAGCCAAGGAGGTTTTACAAGTTTTCCTGGGGCAACAGCAGCGTGTAGGACCATAAGGAGGACAAAAGCCAGATAGAAAGATTGTGTGTGTTTCTCTGCAAGGCAAGAGCACGGCCAAAAGACATCGGCTGTGCGCTGAGACAGAAATAGTGCCTGTATGCAAATGTTTGTTTTGAATGTGTGTTTTTCAAGGAATCTCATTTGTGTGACAATAGAGTTCCAGCACTTTCTGAATGAAGCTTCTGTCCCAATGAGGTCCAGGCAAAAGCTCCCAAAAGCCATGGCAACCGCTGTCCCCCTCGGCCCCGTCTTGTCTTATGAACCTCTTAACCTCACACAGAAAGTATTCTTAGGAAATATTATGATCTGATGGCCTTGTATTCAACTCAGATCTCAGGTCTCATGATTTGAGATGTTAATTGCTTTGTCGATCCCTAATTACAACACTACCTTAAAGAAAATTCCACCCAAATTGTCAGAATTTACTGCATCGTTAAATCTTAAAGATAACAAAGTCATTCAGAGTGATTTAATGTGAAAAGCTCATTCTTATATATAAGTCAGCATTGTTCTCAGTGGTGGTAACCAGACGTCTGAAGAGTTTAATGCCTCTAAAAGTTCTCTTGCAGAAAGTTATTATATGAAATGGATATGAATACACAGACATTATTATACTCTAAGACATTGTTTTTTTTAATCATTTTTGAAAAAGTTCTGGCTTAAATAAAAGCCATTCATGGCGGAGAGGTACAACAATACCCAAAGAAACTTTCTTTTATAGATTATCAATATTACATATAAAAAACCCAGATGACAAGTAGTGGTGACCTCTGGTTCCTATCACCACCACTGTAAAGCAAATCTAAGTCTGTAAGTTTCTGTACAATGAATAATTTCACATCAAACCACTCTGAATGACTTTGTTTACATCTCAATAAATGAGTTGTGCAGACATTTTGAAAAATTGGTAGAATTCCCCTTTAAAACTTAAACTGACCTTAAGCCTAAGCTTCAACCAAATCACACCTGTAAATCCAAGTTGGACAGGCATTACTAGAGACCAACGCAACAATAAACACCTGTACAAATAACCAGAGCCTATCTACACCAATTAAAGGAAGGAATGGACCAGCAAAAATAATCAAATTTACATAATGTTCCAGTTACGCCTTACGTAGTTGATCAGCCAAGACACGTTCGTTGTCCGAATTTAGCTCCTTTAGTTTAGTGGTGTAGCTACGAAGCTAGCTTTGCTAACAAACACTAGAAGTCAATAGCCACCCAAAACCTTTAGGGTTTTTATTGATTTCTAGTGTTTGTTAGCAACATTATACGCAAAATTTTTGAACCAACAACCCAAATCTTTTCTGTAAATACATTCCCAAAACGTCTCTGAACCCACAACCTGGATCCAGCTCTTCATTAAGGTCATACAGACTTGTCCATCTGGTTTGGGACACGTGACTTACTCAGGGACGTATATCATGTAATTTATGTTGTTTCTATTTATTAACATATATCTTTTTTATAATTTATTTAGATTTGGGTGACTATTGACTTCTAGTGTTTTTGGGCAAATTTAGCCCCGTAGCTCCAGTTTTAAACTAAAGAAGCAAAATTTGGACACCAAGTATGTCTTGATTGATTAACTGGGGTAAGTATAAATTGTGTTAATTAGATTTTTTGCTGAACTATTTCTTTTAATAATAATCAAGATGTTACCTGTGTACCAACTGTAAATCATAATACTGATCTAGAAGACTGACCTGTCTCTAAAAGCCTCTGAAGACGGCCATTCTATTTGTAAAAATACAAATAACTGTAAATGAGTTTAGTAATTAATTATGGAACTGTACACTGTACCTCTCCACCACATCCTCTCCGCTCCAGCAGGTGTAGTCATCCACCACCATCTCCCCCTCACACAGCATCTCTGGCAATGTGGAAAAGAAGGACTTGTACCGCTGAATATAACCCATAAACTCCCTGAGAAAGACATTAGCTTCATTACAACTCATAACCGCAGTTAGAATGAAATCTGAAAGCATAAACATTTATATTTTGTGCTCATAAACAGTCTTCCGGTTTGATTTATGGTGGTATGAACTCTATGCACACACACACACACACAGGCTGGTGGATATCCCCTGTCAGTTACAGAGCTCCATGCTTACTTAGAGATCTTCTTCAGACTTCTAGGCTTGTCATTCTTGGAAGGTTTCAGTGGCAAAGACCTGCATGGGTCAGAGATCAGTCTGTTAGCAGTAAATTAAACTCCACTGTAAGGGGGGGGGCAGCAGCAGAGGATAGTATCTGACTATGAAATACACAGATTACACAGTTTGAGTCTTCACAATCGCATTAGTTCATTATTCTGGATGCATCAAAAACATTTTCATTAAATATACATTTTTATTTATAGTTATATAAATAAATATATTCACAGATGAGCCAAAACATTATGACCACACTCTCACAGTCACTCAGGTCTTCAGGCCTGCCCATTTCCACGAGAACCAACTCTTCTCTTAATGTGTAAAGTATCCCAGATCGTGCACTGTTGTTACGTGATAATCAACTTTATTCTCTTCATCTGTGAGTGGTCTTAATGTCTTGGCTCATCTGAGTATATCTGTTGATTTTCTACGTGAAAATAAGTTCCATCCTCTGTAAGGAACAAACTTCAATATATCTATTTACTGCAAATTTCGTGTTTGTTGAATTTAACATTCAGGCAAAAATAAATCATTAAATATAAAATGTGCCATAACTTTTGCACAGGCTATATTTTATGTTTTATTTTGTCCCAATATGTTAAATTCACAAATAAACAGTAATTGTGCATTAAAATGTGCAGAAGTGCGCTCTGTATACAGCAGGCATGTCAAACTGGGGACCTTCCAGGCCAAAGTTCTCAAGATTAGCGTTTACCCTCATCTAACACGCTGAATTCAGTTCACAGAGGCCTTGCTGATTAGCTGATGAGCTGAATCGAGTGTGTTTAATGAGGTGGTGTGCTGAAGTCTGCAGTGTTTTGGCCCGTAAGGACTGGAGCCTGACACTTATTTCCACTTTCAACCAAACTTTTGCATCCAACTGTACATATACAGTATATATGTATCTGTATAGAGTGTATTTTTCTGCATTTATGCTCATTTTTAATTAACTAGGAATCGAAAGCAGATAATCGTAGTATAATGATGTATAAACAAAATGCCTGCATCTCTCACCTCTTTTTAAGAGTAACTCGGCTGTGTTGCTGACCGCTGCTGTCCGGACTGGTGGAGGAGGTGGAGGGCAGCTGCTCTGTGATGGGCTGGACAGAGGCAGCAGGGCTTTCCACTGTAACACTCTCAAGAGTGGACGAGGCAGACTGCGTGAGAGAACCACACACCTTATCCACCTGAGGGTCAGACAGAGTGACTGAGCTCAGTAACTTGTCTTGGTTCAGTCTCAGGATTTGGTCAAAATTTAGTCCAGGATGCATTAGTTAGTCCATTTGCAGACTGTTGTAACTGAGCATGAACAACATTTTCCACACACAATACGCAAACTGAATAAAAGATATGTTTATGTCTCATAGCACAGCTTCTGAACCTGTCATGTCTTCGGTTGTGCTTCAACGTAGACCAGGGGTCGACAACATGCGGCTCTTTCACTGCCCTCTTGCGGCTCCACAGCAGAATTAGATTTTGAAATATAAAAATAAATACTAAAGCTCTGCTGATCATTCTAACACAGTTTTAACAATCAATGGTCTTAAATGCTGAAGTTAATGTATAAAGCATAATGTATAATAATGTATAACTTCTGAAGGTTGGTGCGCAAACTGCTGATCACGTAGCAACACAGACAACAATCTCGCCTGGCTAGTAGCTAACGAAAAGGCAAAGAAAAAGTCTAAAGACGAACATCGATAATCTGGAAATTAATGAACTTATTTGCATTTATTAGTACTACAGCTGGTTTCCTGATACAATTAATCTGCAACGAGAAACTGTCAAACACTAAAAAGTCGTGAGGCTGAAGTCAGTTTCTCATCCACCAGCTTCTCATTCAAATTTTCCTGTTCCACCTTAAATGGTGCCTGAGGTGCCAGAATGTAACTGCTGCACCATTTAAGGTGGAACGAGAGAATGTAAACAAGAAGCTGGAGAATAAGAAGCTGACTTCAGCCTCGTAAAAAAATCAAACATGAAGAGACATTTAACAAGAAACTTATACTTTTGCGGAATATTTTCCTGCCGGAGATGCGAGAAAAGCAGTTATAGCTGACCTAAAGCTTAAAGCAGAGCAAAGTTAGTCTGTGTTTTCCTTTATATTATATTTTTTAGCCTATACTAGGACTTTAGCACATACTGAGACATATTTGCAGCCAAGATGGCTCTTCCTATCATTTGGCTTGCGACCCCTGATTTAGGCTTATGAAAAAAGTACTCAGTATTGGCATGAATGTGACTTTCTGTTGTAAAGTGCTGAAATTCTCCTTTTTTAGTAAGCTGCACTAACCACACCCTTCAGAGCCTATACTAAGGCTAACATGCTAAAAAAAACACATGCACACAAACTAAAAATAACACCTTACCGTCTGATTTAGCCAACCTAGGTATGGAAGTCTGCTAGAATTACCTTTGCCAGCTTGTCTGGCTAAACTCACCCTAGTTCACACACTCACAGGTCACAACTTTGGTGAGGTGACTGGAGTGAGATTTTCAGGTGGCCAGAGTGAGATTTTTAATATTGCCTGTGCATAAGTGCACATCCACTGATACACTGCTTAAAGCACTCATTTGCTCATAGTCATTAGCATGAAGACCCGTGGTTCTTAGGGAACCCCAAACACCTGTCCACATATTTGCTCTAATGCAGCTCCAGACACCTAAACAAAGCCATTGAGAACACTAAATACCTGGTACAGGTGTGTTGTAAGCTAGGTTAGAGCAAAATGTATCATTTTGTTTTTGAACTATTTCTGCTGGCTAGTTTCAAATAAAGCTAAGCAAACGTTGCTGTTGCTAGGTAACAATAATTTAACAATAGCTGAAGGTAATTATCAGATCATGTTACTTTATCAAACTTGACACATATTATTACACATAATAAGTCTGTTAATGTGTTGCTGAAGTGTGAAAAGCACAAGTGGAAAAATGATTTCTTGAATTTTGAATTGTGAATTTACAGAAGCTATTGATGAAGTGGATTAAGAACTCTGTCAATGAACTCACATTAAAGCAGGGGTGTGATAACAGACCCCCTCTAGAGTGCATCATACACAGCTTTTCAGCTAATATGTTGCAATTTTTTCTTTCACAGCAGTACAGCAGTGAGAGCAATCAGAGCAAATTCAGTACTTCAATAAATATTGTTCTATATTATATTGTTTTAGCATGTTGTATAGACTGTGTCATATATTGGATGTCAGTTCGCCTTGACGGAACTCTGCGGGCAGGAGCGGGACAAAACGTTTCAGTTGCGGACGGGGGCAGGACAAGTGATTCAGATTTTCTTCAGGAGCGGGTGGGAGCAAGATGAATTGTGTTATGTTTCTGTTTTTCATTCTGTTTTTGAGCACTTAATATTTCAAATCATTTATAAATAATATTTTGGCAAAGAGTGACTGACCCTTAGGAATTTTGATGTCCAATCTGACACGTTTTGGAAAAAAAAAGGACACCGCTGCCTTGGCAAAAAATTCAGATTTACACAATTTTCCATGTAGCCCAAAAGTAGTCCGTTCACAAAGATGTGGTGTGTAATGTTGATAACAAACACTAGCAATCAATAGTCACCCTCAAGGTTTTGGGTGATTACTGACCTCTTGTGTTTGTTTACAACACTGTAGCTCCAGCTTAAAACTTTGGACACCAACGGTGTCATGGTTGATCGACTACACCTGTGGAAAGTGGAAAACTGTGTGTTTTTTATGATGAAATATTCCTTTAACCATAATCCGGATAAAGTCTTACAAAGCCCTACTGAGGAAATCCAGTTAAACTGCAGGACACTATTACGGGCTAATCTAGTCTGACCATTGGCATTAATCATTTCATGGCCAACACAGAATAGCGACTAATACTGTACAACCTGAGTTGGTCAAAATACTTAGGATTTTGAAAGTGATGGGGACAAAATGTTGTAGTTTGGTGTGACAAAGAGTGACTGGCCTTCACATATTTTGATATTGACCAGTCTGACCCTCTGCAGAGTTATGTCAGAGAATCTCAAGGGAATGCAAAGATGACAGATGTAGAAATGACCCATTATGTTCTTTACTGACCAGTAAGAGTGGCAATGTGAACAGGTACAGGTTGGGACTGGCAGTGACAGTATGAATTTTGACTGCAGTGTCTCTGTATGTTTGTGTATGTATATGTGTGAGTGTGTGTGTGTGTGTCAGTGTGAGTGTGTGTGTTGGGGGGGGGTTATTCCTCCAAGCAGTCTTATTTATCCGAGGATTACCCAAACTCTATCATCCCCCTCACTGCGGCCCCTTGCTTAGTGCCCTGCTTTTTGGGAAGGGGTTTGTCCAGCCAGCCGGAGCCGCCTTTGTCCAGAGGTGAATTTGCATGCAGGACAGAGGCCTGAGCACAAGCAGACAACACCCAAACAACTCAAACTGCAAGACGGAGGCACAGGACCAGCAGGATAGACTCCGCACTGCCCTCATCTCTACCTGTAAACATTCTTCCTGATTCACTTCATCTTTCATCTTGAACAACATGTGCAATGTTTGACCAAACTGGTCCTCCAGGATCAGAGCTGGACACTCCTGTTCTAGATATTTCCTGTAAGATGCAGCTGTTTAAAATGATCATAACATGTCCACCTACACAGCATATCCACTGGGTTTCCCAACTCTTTACAGAGAATCTCCACTGATTCACTCCTCTCTCCAAACGATCTGACAGCACCACTCGTGATTCTGGACTAAAGCTAAAGTGAACCCCTGCACAGCGGAGAACACACCTCGGGTCATGTGAACCCAAAGTCATCCCAGCTACGCAGCATCAGTGAGTGAGCAACACTTGATCCGTGAAGGCTTGGAGGGAAGTGACTGGCCAGTGCAAGTGGGTCCTTTAGCGAGGCGGGGGACAGTGAGGGGGTTAGGTAATAATATCCTCCATTCTGACGGGCAGGTCCACATTCCTTTCAAGCGGGCTTGTGAGAATGTGTCTCAAACTTAATCCACACACACACACACAAGCAGCTGTCAGCACGGAGGCCCAGTCAGCTCAAAGCCAGGCCCAATCCCACTGATCCTTGCATGAATACAGATGTCCAGTATACCAAATATGCAGACCAAAACACTGTCCCTATTGACTCATAACGGCCCAGACGAGTCAAGGTAATTCTGAAGCACATGCTTATAAACAGAGGCAAATGCTGCCTCAATCCAGATCTCAAGTACATTAAGCAACTAAAGCGACTGAAATTCTGTAGCCCATGACCGCTCCTGACCATTAGGTCATTAAATGGGGGTTCACACTGGATGTATTTTTGTGGTTGAGGCATCTTTTTTCTGTTGTTTTCAGCGGAAGAGAATGCGTTGTGCCCAAGGCACTCACGGAGCTGTCAAGGCACTCGAAGAGGTTTTCTGCGCTGACCAGTCAAAGGTAAAGCAGGCCTTCAACTACAGCTGTAAACCAGGAAGGATTAGTGACTGCAGTCCTTCACAGATCTAAATTATAACACATACAAAAAGTAGCTTTTTTTTAGTTTAGCTTCTTTTTGCTAACAGCACTACGTTTGCTAGTTAATAGTAGTACTTTTTGCCTTTATAAAACTTGCCAGCACAGCTGGGGTCTTATGATTGCAGCGCTTGAGATTTCAGGTAGTTTTTCAAAACATTTAGCTAATTTTAGATGGCCAGTTAGTTATTGCTAGTTGCTTAGCAACAGGGAGAAACAAAAAAAAAAAAAAAAAAAGATAAAATTGTAAGTCGCTCTGGCCATAAATGTAGTAAGGTGTGGCAGTGAGATAATTAAGCCTTGACCAATAAGGCATGATCTCATTCCCATGCCTTATTAAGTCATGGCAACATCTTGGCAATCTCATTCCAGCCCCTTACCAAGTCGTTGCCACAGCTTAATTATCTCATTCCCATGCCTTACTAAGTCGTAGCCATGCACTAGAATCTCGCTCCTGTGCATTAATATAGGCCAATGTTTTTATTTATACAGCATGTCACCAGCATTTTTTTGCGTTCCCGGAAACCTTGAGACGAAAAAATTACACCTCGAAGTGGACAATGGGCTTTAGCAGTGGGCTTTATTTTCTGTGTGGACCAATGAGATCAAAAAGAAGGCAGGCCCGTAGTATAACTTGCAGTCTCTGAGTACCATTGGTTGTATTGGTTCTTGGTGGGTTTCTAATGTGTTTAGGCTTTTCTTGATGGGTTAAAACCACAATGTAAAGGATCCTAATGGTTTTACAGGTGACCTGTGACTGACTGTAGATGCATGTGATGGTTATATAAAAGTGTTCTACAGGAAACTAGTGGTCTCTAACAGTAACCACACACACATCTTCTAAACCACTTATCCTTCTGGGTCACGGTGGGGTGCTGGAGCCCATCCCAGCTGCCATCGGGCAGAAAGCAGGACACACCCTGGACAGGTTGCCAGTCCATCGCAGGGCAGACAGACAGACATATGCATCCACACACACAATCACACACACATTCACACCTAGGGGCAATTTAGCATGTCCAATTGACCTGACTGCAAGTCTTTGCACTGTGGGAGGAAACCGGAGCACCCGGAGGAACCCTACGCAGACACAGGCAGAACATGCAAACTCCTAATGGTTCTAATGGTCTTTTTTCAGCAGGGCTTCATATGAATTTGTAGATCAAAATTATTAACTTTCGTTTTGTTTAGCTTGCTTTATTTGCAGCACAACACTTGCTAAATAATACTATATCTCTTCTTAAAAGGGCGAGCGACTGAACTTTCTTCCTGTACATATTGAAACAATGGTTAGCCAGAACAGCTGATTGACAGTCGCTAAGCAAGCAAGCCAGAAGCAACAGAAAATGTGAAACAGCACGAAAAAAAAAAAAAAAACTGTTCTCTCCATGGATGAATTACATAAGATCAGACATGAGCAAAAATCTGAATTAAGCAATAAGGCTTATAATGTGAACACAGCCCCTACAACAATGGTTCTCAAACGTAGTCCTGGGGACCCACTGCCCTAAAGTATTCCCTGTCCCAGAAACTCTGATCCAGCTCATCAGGTAATTATCCATTCCTTCATAAGCTGGATCAGGTGGGATATTTGGGAGAATACTTGAAACCGTAGATGCGTCTAAAATCCAAGCGTGCAGCCGAGGAGGCACCCTCTGTTTTGGGGAATTCAAATGATCCTTCCAGACCATCTGTCACCTGCAACACTTCACATGTGGCTCAAAAAAAAAAGGAAAAATGGCAAAAACAGCTGCGAGTGGGCAAAATGCTGCAGCAAATAACATTTTCTCAAAGAGGACTCTTACTGAAGAGAAGCCTTCGTATACCAGTACTAGCAAGGTCTCTCCTACCTCGGCTGCAGCCTTCACATTGAGATATGGCTTATTTCGAGCGGTGGTTCCCTAGGATTGGAGGTGAGAACCATTACTATGAAAAGTCAGGCATCAGAATAACTCACAACAGCACTGAGGTGTGGTCCGTGCAGCTGAGCATTCAGGATGGCGTCATTAATCCTCTCACGTATCCCCAGCAGGGCAAGCTCCAGCTCGTGCCCCCCGGCCAGCACCCCACTCAGACGCTCTAGCAGGCCCACATAGCGGCTCCAGGGCACCTGCAGCTCGGCCAGTCCAGCCAGGCAGCCACGCATCACGTTCAGACAGAGTCCCCCACAGGGCCGGATGAGGGTCAGCCCCCTGCAGTGCGGGCAGTACTGCATCCGTACCAGCGCCCGCCCGCACTCCTTCGCCATCCCCGCAGACTCAGTGGCATTCAGGACCTCCGCTCCAGCTGCTAGCGCCCGGGTCAGTGCTCGTCCACCTGCTAGTGCCCTCCCCAGTCCCTGCGCCAGAGCCTGCGGCTGCGGGCCGAAAGGGTTCACATCCGGCCGTGTGGCCCGGAGACACTCTGTGCCCTCTGCTGACCAGGAGGAGGAGGAGCGCAGGCCTGGGTTCACCAGGTAACGGTAGACCAGAGGGAAGAGGTCATCGTAGAAACGGTGGACAGATCGTTCCACAGAGATGTCAGTGTCGCCATGGAGATACAGAGCGAGGTCGGAGAACAGGGCAGAGACTAAAGGGCGGGACTCCCGGGCGATGGGCTCGTAGGCCAGGTCGAAGAGGGAGAGGGTGTGGTTGAGTGTGAATGACAGGAGGGATTGGAAGGTGTCTGAAAGAGAGACAGAGAGAATACAGTCAGTACCGCAGACAAATTATTAGTGACTTTAAATTACCTCTGTTCTGAATAGCCAAGGACTTTTATCACACATCTTTAAAAAACTCTAAACCAAGTTCAGTACATACTGGGCTGAAAACTGAAAAAAACAAATGCTTTTTATTTGCCTTATAGTGTCAGTTCATAAATTATATCTATTAATTTTGGTGTTGTGGTGCTCTGTTTGAATATGTCAAGGAAACGGCACTATTTCTCATTACCACCTGAAGAAATAATAATTATTATTATTATTACAAAACTTTTTCAAACTGACATTTTGGTGCATTCTGAAAAATAATAAAAGTCAAGTCCTTCATGGGAACAAAATGTACTTATATTTTACTGTAAAGAACATGACAAACGCATTGTAATATATCCACAGCCATATATAAATTTATCCAATAAATCTCCAAAATGGCAACTTTATAGAAGAAGGCAAAAACATTCTTTAGAGAATTTTTGTAAAGTCCATTCAAATATGGTCAAATTCCATTTTTTGCAGATTTTCTTTTGTTGACACTTCATTATTGTTCATTGCTAAATTAAACATATTGAAAAAAAATGTAAAAAATAAAACAGACGTTATGGCACCATATTTTGTATTATATTATCTTATCAAAATAGAATATCAAATACAATATAATAAAATAATATTGCATAATCTTTTTCTTCTAATATGTTAAAATCAGCAAATAGAAATTGTGCATTAAAATTTGCAGAAAAAAATGCCATATTTAAGTGTTCTCTGTTTTCAAAAATATTTCTCTGTGTTCAAAATGTTTGCATATAATGGCACTGGTGCAAAAATGTGTGCTATCTAAAATCATATATATATATACATATATATATATACATACACACACACACACACACACATATATATATACACATCGCTGTTGTCGGAAGAAAACCTCATATCTCCATTTTTTTCAGTTTTTGACATAATATGAAAATATCTGTTGTCCTTTACATTGCGAGTAGATTTTATGAAGAATAGACTAAAAGAAATGACCCAGAATTACTTGGAAAAATGTCTGGTTCCATTGACTTACATTAAAAGTAAAGTAAGTTGTTTCCTTTTCCTGTAAAGTTATCACTTTGGAGATACGAGGTTTTCTTCCGAATTTATATATATATATATATATATATATATATCGACACCGATCAGGCATATCATTATGACCACCTCCTTGTTTCTACGTTCATTGTCCATTTTATCAGCTCCACTTACTATATAGGTGCACTTTGTAGTTCTACAATTACAGACTGTAGTCCATTTGTTTCTCTGCATTTGTTAGTCCTCTGACCACTGATGAAGGACTAGAGGATGACCAACACAAACTGTGCAGCAGCAGATGAGCTATCGTCTCTGACTTTACATCTACATGGTGGACTGACAAGGTGGGAGTGTCTAATAGAGTGGACAGTGAGTGGACACAGTGTTTAAAAACAGGGTTAAAGGGGGCTAACAAAGTATACAGAGAAGCAGATGGACTACAGTCTGTAACTGTAGAACTACAAAGTGCACCTATATAGTAAGTGGAGCTGATAAAATGGACAATGTTGGATGTTATGCCTGATCGGCGTGTGTGTGTGTGCATTTATATATATATATATATATATATATATATATATATATATATATATACATATGCATATATAAAAGTGCAGTTCCTTACAAGTTGTATTGTGTTAACATACGTGTAAACATTTGAGTGACACACATTTATTTCAGGGCCAATTTCAAATATTTGCATATATTCTAAGATATTACTTTAAGAAACATTTGTCAAATATATGGTTTTTCCATGTGAGAGGAGGACATTACTGAGTTTCGTGTTTGCTCTTCTGTATCAAATCTCATGATGAGCTTGACTGTTAGCTGATGTGTTGGTATATGTCGTATTGTGTTGTGTCAATATATGGTAAATGTAACTATGTTGGTGATATATTAAATACACTATATTCTGTAATGCTGTGACCCTCCAGTACTATATTCTCACCCCCCACAAGCACATACACTACTCAGTTTCCAGTCGTGCTCTGTGTTTGCATTCCAGCTGCTGAGAAAACTGAAATCATCCAGATCATGTACTGCAGGCTACTAAAACAAATTTACACTAACACAACCTTTGTAATACGAGACGAGACACAATTGCTGCGATCTTGTTTGACATTTAGGAGGATGGTTTGAAATGCCAGCTGATGTCAGTCTCTCTGTCATTGCTCACATCTCTTTCCTATACATCTAATCTCCCTTTCCCCCGGCCTAATGAGAGCTGACAGCCCTTAATCCGTGTGTCTTTTTGGGCTACAGTGCAGAGGGGAGGTATTTGACAGTAGCTTATAGGACCAATTTTAGCAGTCGGGAGACGTCTCGCTGCCGCGTCTGTGTGTGCTGACTGTGGAGAGACTGAGAAGTTGAGGATTATTCCGCTCCCAGATGGGGCTTGTTTGACTTTCTGGCTTTCTTCATGAGCGAGGATCCTGGTGACAGGGATACGGATGTGACCAGCAGATGTCGGAACTCTTCTAAATGCTCATTTTAGTGTCATCACATAAGTGACAGTAAAAGCATTCCTGTCTGTTTCTGTACGAGTGATGTGTGGACACATGGGGATTGTCCAATCAATACAATTAATGTTCTCCTCTATAAATGGCCAAATGCATAAACAGAGGGAGCAGATTTGAAAGACATAATAGTGTGTTATAGAGACTGTGGTCAGCTGTTATTTGGACTAGAGGCTGACCAATATTACAGTTTTACTAAGGACCTAAAACTCTGATGACTGATAATATTGGAAAACATTTCTTTATTCCTTTATCCAAAATTGATCAGACCTGAGAGGTTTCGGTTAAACAATGCTTTACCAACTGATATGACTATAAAGTGTCAACTGTGAATTATCAGATATGATTGGAAGTTCTCAACTGCCAGTTTTCTCCAACTAAAAAAAGCCTTAACTACGTGAACCTGTAGATTTATTGTTCAGTTATAAACCTTAAGACTTATTATTAGTACAAATTATTCAATAACTTCTGTGAATCTAACATGTAAGTTATGTAGATATGAGAGTGAGGAAAAGTGTGGGCCATGTACAGGTCTTTAGGTTTTAGGGGTTTAAGTATGTACAGGTCTTTAGGTTTTAGGGGTTTAAGTATGTACAGGTCTTCAGGGTTTAGGGGTTTAAGTATGTACAGGTCTTTAGGTTTTAGGGGTTTAAGTATGTACAGGTCTTTAGGGTTTAGGGGTTTAAGTATGTACAGGTCTTCAGGGTTTAGGGGTTTAAGTATGTACAGGTCTTTAGGTTTTAGGGGTTTAAGTATGTACAGGTCTTTAGGGTTTAGGGGTTTAAGTATGTACAGGTCTTCAGGCTTTAGGGGTTTAAGTATGTACAGGTCTTCAGGGTTTAGGGGTTTAAGTATGTACAGGTCTTTAGGTTTTAGGGGTTTAAGTATGTACAGGTCTTCAGGGTTTAGGGGTTTAAGTATGTACAGGTCTTCAGGGTTTAGGGGTTTAAGTATGTACAGGTCTTTAGGGTTTAGGGGTTTAAGTATGTACAGGTCTTCAGGGTTTAGGGGTTTAAGTATGTACAGGTCTTTAGGTTTTAGGGGTTTAAGTATGTACAGGTCTTTAGGGTTTAGGGGTTTAAGTATGTACAGGTCTTCAGGGTTTAGGGGTTTAAGTATGTACAGGTCTTTAGGGTTTAGGGGTTTAAGTATGTACAGGTCTTCAGGGTTTAGGGGTTTAAGTATGTACAGGTCTTTAGGGTTTAGGGGTTTAAGTATGTACAGGTCTTTAGGGTTTAGGGGTTTAAGTATGTACAGGTCTTTAGGGTTTAAGGGGTTAAACAGTATGAATTTTGTAGGATATTGCATTGATACCAATAAATTTGCAGGACCTCAATATCTACTGATAAATTGGTCAGGCCCAAAAAAATGCCAGCAATCGTTTTAGGGTTCACTCCAGCCAACCTATAATTACAGCAGCATTATGTGTGTGGCCTCCTGTAGCAGACTATGAGACTCACAACCCCCCAAATAAACTACATGCCAAATTCAGTGCCACAGGGGGTCCAATCTGGGCACATGAGGCATTTTAATTGCCAACTGAATGTGTCCCTTGAATGTTGCCTGGACTACAGTTCCCAAAATACACTTCACCACCAAGATGCTGCTCTTCATGTGTACATATATTTTACCCAGGTGTGTGTTTCTGGCTGTAAGAACTGTCTAATGAGAATTTTAAAATGCTGCATTTTCAAAATGATGCATTTAAGCTACCTACACTCAATCAAAGGGGAATTCCACCAATTTTTCAAAATTTCAGTGGTTAAGATTTCAGTGGTTACATTTATTTCTCATTTCCAATATTGTACTGTTACATAGAAACTCAGAAGAAAAGTGTAGGTTCACTGCTGGTTTTGGAATGTAAATAAAATGGCTATATTTGAGTTGTAGAAATGGTGAGTCCTGGTTCCTATCACTGCCTGTATGTTTCTCTAACTAACCATTTCATATCAAAGCACTCTGCATGACTTTGTTTACATCTCAACAAATAAATTATGCATAAATACCTCATTAACAATCTATTGCTGACTAAACTGTCAGTAAAAAAACTCAATAATTAAAGGCCCATACCTGGGAAAACTGAATTTCCCTCTCTTTTTTTAAATAAAGGTATCTGAAGTGACGTGTAAACACTGTTAAAGTTTTGAAATGTACCTTTCACTCACCAGTCCATACAGTCAATATATGAAAGCTATGCTCCAAAAACAGCCCATTTTGAATTTACTGTTTCTGTGATGTCATGAAAACCAACTCATTTAGCCTACAGCAGTTTAGACCGGCCCGTTCACACTGATGCCTCATCTTTGACGTGGTGATCAAATTTCAGGCAGTTTCCATTAATTCCATTAATTTTTTTAAATTTCTGCATAATTAAATCTTTGCGA